TCAGGAGGCCTGACCTCTGCCCTCTCCTCTCTCCTATCATACCAACAGCCTGAGGGGCCAGGATCTGTGTGAATCCGGCTGAGAAAGTGATGAGAACAACAGGGTAGGTAACCCAGGCCAGGTACTGGAGTAAGATGCTGGTGTTTAAGCCCCGAGACATCCACTGCTGGGCTGTGGAAAGAGGACATGCTGCTGGACCCCAATGCACACACCTGCTCCTGGCCACTGGGACACACTAATATGATGTTTTCCCAGGGAATACTGCACAGAGCCTGGGCACAGATGGAAGGAAAGGGGTCCTAGGGCATACACTAGGACAAAGCCCACTATAGGTAAAAGGGTCAGTTGGAAAGAGGCAAGAAGTTTGCCGGGTGTGGTGGTGCACACCTATAATCCCAGTGGCTTAGAAGGCTGAGGCAGGAGAGTTGCAAGTTCAAAGTCAGCCTCAGCAACTTAATGAGACCCTGTCTCTAAATAAAGTATTTAAAAAAAGGGCTGGAGAAGTGGCTCAGTGGTTAAGTGCCCTGGGTTCAATCCCCTATACCAAACCAAACCAAATCAAAACAACAACAAAAAACCACCGTGAAGTTATGACCTATGGGAGTGGCAGTATTTGTGCCGGAAGGCAGTTAGAAAGTATGGAGAAAGTGATCAGTGGCCAAGAAGCCTCAACAACTTTTGCACATTGGAAGTAGGTTGGTTTTCCCCAGTCCTCCCACTGCCAGCCTTTGCTCTCACCCTGTAGACAAACAGCAATGGCATAATCCATGGCCCAGCTGACCAGTGCCATGAGGAGCCCCAGGAGGACCAGGAAGATCCAGTCTTCACCAACCCTGGATACTAGGAACTTGTGGCAGCGTACTGAACAGACTGGGAGCAGGGAAGGTAAGATCAGCAGGGAGTCTGGCACCAAAGTACTCCTATCCTGGTTACTGCTTCTCCCCTTCCTCCACTGGTAGCTCCAATGGCTTCTTCCCCCTCAGCACATCACAACCCCGCCAGGTCCCCTGCCCCAACCCAGGTCTCACTGCGGCATCTGGCACATCGGCTCTGTCCATATTCCAAGAGCTCTGGGGGAGCCCGAGGGGACGGGGGCCCCTTCCAGGGCTCAGGGCCTCCCAGGCGAATCCGAGCAGCTTCCTCTTTGGCAAAGGCCCCGAGTTCCTGAGTATACCGGCCATACATCTGGAGCAATGGGGAAGATGGGGCATTAGTGTGCATGGGCTCAGTGGGGATACAGGGAGGGTGCCTGGGGCCTTGACTCCCCTTATCCCAGCCTCCATATTGTATACCCCCCTTGAACCCACAGTTCCCACTCTGGCTTGGTGTGTGGGAACAATGTACATTGCTGAGTGTGGGGGCTGCCCTGGCTACAGTGACAGGGACAGCTAAGGTACAGGGACACAGATCTGGGGGTGGCAGAATAATTGGTCCTCTTCTCACAGGCCAGAGGTGGGAGCACTGAAGAGGAGTGGGAGGGAAGGCTCCAGAAGAGGGAAAAGATGGAAAAGCCTAAGGCACAGTCTGAAAGTGGGAGGAAGGTCAGAGAATAAGGGATGGTCAAGGGCATATGGGCAACAATAAGAGCCTGGCGGAGCTGAGGGCAGCTGAGTAGGGCCTAGAAGCAGGCGCGGCCCCAATCCTTATCACGTTCCTGCTGGGCCTCTGGCCTGTTACCAAATCAGCTGCACCCCTCCCACCCACCCTAATCCCCTTGTCCCCATTCTCCACCCCACCCCCCTGACTAGCCAACCCGCCCAGCTGGGAATGGAAAGCTTCTCCAGGAGGGTGGAGAGTGCTTGGTGGCCTCAGCCCCACTCTAGAGCTGCCCAGAGTCCAGTAGCAGGTCGGGGACAGCAGAGGCTGCGGATGGCAAAGCTGTGACTGTGGATGCTGGGTGATGGGACGGGAGAGTAGCCGAGCTATGGCTAGACCTGCCAAGCTGGGCGTGTGTTGGGGGGTGGGGAGGAGTAGATTCCGGCTGCCACCCGCAGAGCTTCAGGACACAAAGGGCTCCTGTTGGGGCTGGGGTTGGAGGGGGGAGAGGGAGGGACAGATAGAGACACAGAGAGTGAGAGATAGTGAGAAAAGGGAGAAGCTCAGAGAGGAGAACTAGAGAGAGGCCAGAGAAAACACAGGAGAGATGAGGGGGGAAAGAAGCAGGGAGGAGGAAAAGAGGGTAGAATATAGAGATACAGTGTAGGAGGGGGGAGGTGAGAGACAGACAAAAGGGTAGGAAGGACAAGGGGGAGAGGCTGGAGCAGAGAGTGCCGGGAGAGAGCTTGACCCTGAGAGCTCATTCCTGAGATAGAGACACAAGGGAAGGAGATGGAGATGTGGCTGGTGCAGCAGAGACACCATTTGGGAGGTCAGGTGCCTGGCTCCATGATCAGTGCCCCCTCTTTGGCCTCTGCAGACTACAGATATCTCTCACCCTGTCCCAAGGGCTTGTTCTGCTCCCTTTGCTCTGCTCCCATACCTACCACCTCCCCTGGTCATCCTGTTTCATCCAGTCTCCCTTTCCCTCTCTCTCTTTTGTAATTGGGCACCTCCCAGACTCAGTTACAGCCCAGGCCCTCTTCACCTGGAGAGGTTACCTCCCTGCCACCCTCCTGGGCAAATTCCAGCCCAAGCTGATAAAAAGGAGCCATGGGCCATTCCTTTACTTAGGGCTTAGGTCTTCCACTCAAGTGATATAAAAAGGGTCAAATGGCTTCTCAAATACTAAGTAAAGGTTGAATCAGCTGGGAACCCAGGACCCCTCCTCATTAGAAAATGAGGTCAAGGAACACCCAGGGTTGGGTGGGGGCTGCATACCTAGGGACAGTATGAACAGAGGTCCCAATTCCCACACCCATATCTGCTTCACCCATCCTTCCTAAAGCTCCTATCCTCCAGGGTGGCAGGCCATTCCCCCTAGCCAGGATCGACTGAGAGATTCCTGCCAATGCTGGTTTTGAGCCCACAAAGGCAGAGGTTTGAGTCTGATCACCTGTCTACACACTCTAGATTCTATGCTTAGCAGAATTTCATTCATGTACATTGTAGGGACACAGGGAGTGTCGTGGATGGTGGAGACAGAAGGGGTGTGGATAAAGTTCAAGGGTGTGGATGGTACTGGGGAGGGGTATTAGCGCGCTGAGACTTGGGCTCAAACGGCGAGGAAAGGGGCAAAGAAAACGAGTGTGTTGGAGTGGGGGTAAAGGGAAGCACACCGCAGATAAACACTTGGTGTCATTGTCCTCTGCAGGCCCCCAGGCTCAGCCAGAAGCCAGCAAGCAGCTTTCCAACCTTTTGGTGCTGCAGCCTCTCGGACTCCTCAGCCTCAGTTTCCCCAGCTCAGAGGACTGAGACGGAGGTAGGGTAGGCCCCCAACCCTTGCGCTTCCTAGGGTGATCTGTAACAGCTGTGCCGAAGTGCAACCCTTCGAGCTCAGCTCGGCTTCACTTACCAGGGTCTGCTCGTACTGCAGCGCTCTCGGCTCCATCCCCTCCTCGGCCGCCACGGCCGCCGAGGCCGCCATCTCCGTGTACTGCCCTCTGGCTTCCCTCTGCCGCTCGGGCTCCGGCCTGGTCTCTGCTCTCAGCCCGCAAAGCCCGAGCAGGCACCCGTCCGGACCCCGCAGCCCGAGCGGCCGAGTGCAGAGTGTGGCGGGTCCCGGGCGGGCGCCGCAGGCGCAGCCTCCCGCTCGCGTCCCCTCCTCGGCGGGCGGGCCGAGGGCGGTGCCCTCTGCGCCGCTCCGCCCGCCGGCCCATCCGGAGGGGCCGGCCCATCCCGCCTGGGGTCTGCGATGGAGCCGCCTCTCAGGCTCGAAAGAGGCGGCAGGGGGCGCTTTGCGTGAGAGCACGCGCCCCCTCCCTTGGAGGCTGGGGACTGACTGGGGCGCCCACGGCTGGGGCGAGGGCGGGTCCGCCGGCACGTGGAGGGGCTGGGCCCGGTCCACAGCTCTCTGGGCGGGGCAGGAGGACTTGGAGACGTTGGGGTTCAGTAGGGCTTGGGGCTTGGAGCTCCAAAACCGTCTAAATTGGGCTCCTGAGACTCGATCCGTTAGGAGCAGCCCCTTCTCTGCTCCTAGAGAGGAACAGGTGGTTCAGGAGAGTCCGGGTAGTCCCCTCTGCCCGATCCAGGGTGAAAAGCAACTGGGAGCGAGTCAGAGGGGAATTCTAGGCCGCCTTCCTCATTCCCTCCCTTTCTTCTTTCTTTCCTCGGGGCTCCCTCAAGGAGGTGCACCTGGAGCTGCCAGGCCTGCGGGGTGTGCCGGGGTGGAGGTGGAGAGGGTACGGGAAGAGGTGAGGCCTGAGGGAAGGGAGTTGTAGGTGCTGGGGAGGCCACTCCTGGGAGGCGGGTGTGGGGGAGCAGAGGTCGCTTCTCCCTGGCAGGGCCCAACCAGAAACCCGAGTAGCTGCTGACGTCTCGCCGTGTTGGGGGAACGGCCTGCTGGGGCTCCGCATTCTCTATCGGGGTCCTTGGAAGGACAGAACAGGGTGGAGTGAGCACAGGATGGATAGACATTGTTAGAGCTAGAGCCACGGGAGAGCGCGGGCCCCAGAAACAGTTTGTAGGAGGGCGCAGTCCCAGGATGAGGGACATTTGGGGGACAGCGGCAGTGCTCTAGGGGAAGGGTTGGTGCCCAGTGAGGAGGCAGTATGAGAGAGGAGCTACCAGGAAGAAGAGGCAGTTTGAGAGAAGACCTCTTCTCTACAATAGGGGGGCAATCCAAGGTGTGCAGGAGAGGGCAGTGGTGGGGGAAAGGCAGTACCAAAATTGAAGGGGCAATGCTTTTGGGGAGCGCAGTGTGAGGGGATTAATGTCAGACCGAAGGGGAGGTGGTGGGAGGAGAGCAGGACCCAGGGGAAGAGGGCAGTGATGGGGAGGGTGCAGCACCAGGGGAGGGGACAGTGCAGACTTTTCTTTTCTCCATAGTGACATCAAGGCAAATTCCCAAACCGGACGGACCCGGTCGGGTGACGTCCAGCTGGGCCGAGCCGGCCCGGGCCAGCCCCGGGGGCCTTAGTGCCAGCTGGAGGGGCTGGGCACTATGCCCTGCCGGGCCAGCTTTCTGGGGGCGGGGTTCTGATCCACCCGCCCCCCGGTGCGGACTGTGCCCGGGCGGGCTTGCGGACCAGCAGGGCAGGGTTAGGGCCGGGCTTCTCTGGGCTAAGGATCAAGGTCCTTGCCTGGGTTAGGCCCCCACGCATTCCAGTCTTCGATCCCGGACTCTGAAGAGGGCGCAGTAGAGCTGTAGCGGAGCACGAGAACCTGCGTCACCTCCGCGGAGGTGGGACCTATTGTGTCTCCGCCCTGGGCGTGTCACCTGAATTTAGAGTCACGCCCTCAACGTCCAAGCCTCTCCACCGCAATCTTTCCGGGCGGAAGTGTAGAAGCCCCGAGAGGGACTCGGCGGAAGTGGCTGCTTTACTGCAAGTCGGTGCGCATGCGTCATTTTGCCCCGGTGGAGCTCTTCAGCCTGAACACTTTTCCTGTCTCCTTTTCTCCACGCGAGGGGGTGCGCGAACCCCCAGTCGTGGCTGTGTGGTCAGCACTTCTCTGGTCTCTTGGCCCCCTCACGATGGCGGGCATCCTGTTTGAGGATATTTTCGATGTGAAAGACATTGACCCGGAGGGTAAAAAGTTTGACCGAGGTAAGTTAAGGTACGCAGGAGCGGTACAAAAGAAGAGGCCTGTCTCATTGCCACGCCCCTGGGCCCCTTCTCCATCCTGCTCACGTGGCCAGCCTCTAGCGACAAATTCTGATGAAGCGACGTCCCTCAGGAAACATTTTATGAATGAGAAACTTGAGACTCTGAGCTTTCCCTGGCTTCACCCATGCAGTGCCTGCTGCCTGGGTGGCTTTCAGCCATGATGCTGACAAACTCCTGGGCATCTTTATAATCGCGACCTACTCTCTGTGTTAGAGATTATACTGTGCTCCCCTCTCACACACTTTGGCTTGTTCATTCGCAAAAGCCCCCATGAAGTAGGAGGTGTTTTTTGCATTTTGTTCTGACAGGTTAAGTAACCCACCCAAGACCACAGAGTGAGTTATTTGACTTGTATTCTTATATTATCCCCAGAATCTTTAGCTGTTTGTGAAGTCCTCTCTGAGTTAGAGCTAATTGCTTGGCATACAACTCCTTATTCTGCAATCCATCGACAATTTTTTCTCTTTGGTGATACTTTATTTGCCTACAGACTGAGATATTTATCAAGTTCTTATACATCCTGTTAATCCTCTCAGCATAATGTATAGCACAGAAAGAGAAAATCTTTGGATAAGTAATAACTTGCCCAGAGTCATGTTCTCAATCATTCAGGGGGCCTAGAGCCTAGATACTTGCTGCCAGAGGATCTTTGATTCTTTCTGGGGTTTCTGTTCTATTGCCATAGTTTTTGCCCTTTTTCTTCTTGCACAGGTTCTGATTGAACCTGCACTTCCTTGAATGCAGTGGAGAGGTTAATGGATGTATACCAGGTTACATTAAAATTCTTTTGCAATTAACCACCAAACTGGGATCTGTATGTTCTGCCCTGGGCTTGATAAAGTATGCCTGTCACTTACTTTATTTTTCCCCAGTATCTCGACTGCATTGTGAGAGTGAATCTTTCAAGATGGACCTCATTTTAGATGTAAACATTCAAATTTACCCTGTAGACTTGGGTAAGTATTGAACACACACAATAGCAAGAGTTTTTTTCCCTTCTTAATTTCATCTATTCTTCATCCTCAGATATTGCATTTTTATTTCTAGGTGACAAGTTCCGATTGGTTATAGCTAGTACCTTGTATGAAGATGGTACCCTGGATGATGGTGAATACAACCCCACAGATGACAGGCCTTCCAGGTGAGGGAGTAGAGAAGGGAGCACTTTAAATATTGAAATATGCCCTGAGGACTAAGTGGTATAGGACCATCTCTGCAAGTGGGGGTTGAACTGGACCTTGGCCTCATACCTGGTAGGCAAGTACTCTATCACTGAGCTCCATCACTAGCCTTTTTTAGTTTGAGACAGGATCTTGATGAGTTGCCCAGGCTGGTTTCAAACTTGCAAACCTTCCGTCTCAGCTCCCCTGAGTAGCTGGGATTACAGGTATGTGCTATTGTGTCTGATTTAGAAAGACCTTTATTTAGACCCTGGAATAAATGATTGTCATCAGAATCTGAGTAACCTTAAGGAAATTGCTGCACTTAAGAATTCAAACAACCAGGGATGGAGTTGTGGCTCAGTGAAGAGCATTTGCCTAGCACGTGGGAGGCCCTGGGTTTCATCTTCAGCACCACATAAAAATAAATAAATAAAAATAAAGGTATTGTGTTCAACTACAATTAAAAACCAAATATTAAAAAAAGAAAAAAAGAATTCAAACAACTATCTGGGTGTGGTGGCTCACGCCAATAATCTCAGCTGCTCGAGAGGCAGATGGAGGAGAATCACATGTTCAAAGCCAGTCTCAGCAACTTAGAGAGCCCCTAAGTAACTTAGTGGGACCCTGTCTTAAAATAAAAAAGCAAAAAAGCTTGGGGATGTGGCTCAGTGGCTAAGCGCCCTTGGGTTCAATACCTAGTACCAAAAAAAAAAAAAATTCAAACAACCAGGTGTTTACTGAGAGCAATGATACCATGGATATCATGCTTGTGAGGTGTAGCTTTTTGAAGGTGGAGGAAATGACCATTGAATGACCTAGGCTATGTGGGAGGAGTTTGGTGTGATAGAGAGGCATTGGAGCACCACTGAGTTTAGTTCTTAGCTTTAGTACTTATTTGTTGAATACCCTAATCTCTTTTATTCTTAGTTTCCTCATCAGTAAAATAGAGATGTCTTACTTGGCTCAAAGGATTATGGTGGGGAAGGACTAAATGACATCATATTTCTAAGGTGGCCCTTGTTATAATGCTGGCACTTAATTACCAGTTACCATTTTATTCTTATTTTTAATGTTTTTGTGATGGTGTCTCACTATGTTCTCCAGGCTGGCCTCATGCTGCTGAGGTTCAAGTGATCCTCCTGTCTCCGCCTCCCAGTTAGCTAGGACTACAGGTGTAGCCATTATACCTGGCTATTAATTACCATTTTAAAAGGATTTTTTTTTTTTTTTTTGGTACCTGGGATTGAATTCAGGGATGTTAACCACTGAGCCACATCCCTAGCCCCTTTTTATGTTTTATTTTGAGACAGGGTCTTGACAGGGTCTCGCTAAATTGCTTAGGGCCTCACTAAGTTGTTGTGGCTGTCTTGAGATCCTCCTACCTCAGCCTCCCGAGCCATGGGATTGCAGGTGTGTGCCACTGTGCCCAGCTGAAAAGGAGTGTTTGTAATTATTATGAAGAATAACTTTGTCACTATTGTTCTGCAGGGCTGACCAGTTTGAGTATGTAATGTATGGGAAGGTGTACAGGATTGAGGGGGATGAAACGTCTACTGAAGCAGCAACACGCCTGTAAGTTCCGCAGTCTGGTGAGAATCCTTTTTCTTCCTCCCTGGCTAAGAAGTTGGGCCATGCTCTTGCTTCCTGTGTTGGGCCCCTCTCCTCAAATGCCTCAAACTTAGAACTTAAGTAGTAGCTGTTCCTGGTACAGTTTCCAGTCTGAAGTATTGGCTGCCCACTTTGCCCTTTGTCAGGATCTCAAGGCCCAGTGGTTCCAAAACTTAATCCTGCTGTGTGAAGTGCCAAGAAGAGTGGCTTCCCCAGGAACAACATGCAGCGTTAAGGATTAAACTGCTAGGCTTTTTTGTTGTTGTTTATTTGTGCGTGTGTGCTTTGCTACTTTGTAACCCAATCCCTGGTTCTTTGGTTTCCCTGCTTATTTTTTTCTTTAAAATTGTATTAAAACAATATGTGTTCTTTGTAAGCTATTTGAAGCAGAGAAGTAATGTAAAGGGGGAAAAGTTACCTATAATTTTATACCCAGGAGGAACCTTTTACATAAACATTTTTGAATGGTCTTTTTTTTTTTTAAGTCTATTTTTTTCTTTGAGATCATGTTGTTTATTCTATTGTTTTTTTCTCTTTTTGTTTAACATATGTACACCATGATTCCCTGTGTTAGTGTAAAGCTTTTCCTAAACACTTTCAATGGCTGTATAACATTCTGGATTCATCTTAATTCATTTTGCCATTCCCCTAATTTTGTGCATGTTGGTGTTTTCCTCCTTTGCTAGTATAAACAACAGTGCTTTGCATGTATCTGTGCATTTTTCTTTGAATGAATTTTTGGTTCCTTAATGACAGAACACTTTCTTTTTTTTTTTTTTTTTTTTTGTATGCTGGGATGGAGCTCAGACTCATGGGATGGGGATCCTTCTATTTCAGCTCTGCCTATGTGTCCTACGGGGGCCTGCTCATGAGGCTGCAGGGTGACGCCAACAACCTGCATGGATTTGAGGTGGATTCCAGAGTTTATCTGCTGATGAAGAAATTGGCCTTCTGAACCTCGAAGGATGCCAGCCTGCTCTTGGTCACTCAGGTTGTGGACATTGTTCAAACCTGAGTAGAAGTTGCTGTTGTTCACCTGTTAAGGAGGAACTGGTTTTCTGCCCACTGTTGGTGCATCTTTAGCTAGTCTGAACTCAGTGGGAAACTGGCTTGCCTGTGAAAGACCCAATGGGAAAGCTTGAAGTGAATCAGAAGTTATTTTGTGTATATATGACTTTTTAATTAAACTTTACTTTTTCAGACTCCCCCCCCTTCTTTAACACATTTTCATTTTAAAAAATTGTTTTTCTTTTAGTTGTAGATGAACAAATACCTTTATTTTGTTCATTTATTTTTATGTGGTGCTGAGGATTGAACCCAGTGCTTCACACATGTCAGGCAAGTGCTCAACTGTTGGGCCACAACCCCAGCCCCATTTCCATTTTCTTTAAAATTGTTTTTTCCAATTTGTCTGTAGTATATTTCTGTCCCACAGCCAAATGACCATGTATCAACCTAGGGCTGTCCCAATCTCAGCCTTTTGGTTTTTGGGTTTAGGGTCATCTCCATCTCCTGGCTGACTGACTATTGTAGCATATATCCTCTAGTGTGATTTTCTATCTGGAGAGAAGGTTGTGCTTTGATTCCTGAGAGTAATATCCCATGCCCAGAAGATACCACCCATTTGGCATAGAATTTTGAATTGGCAAGGTGCCATGCTCATGTCCTTCCAACACTCAGACTCCAGGAAGTCAGTTCACATTAATTTGAATGAGTTACTTGCATAGCCTGGAAAAGTTCTTTTTTTAATGGAAGCTTTGGGTGGAGACTTTTTGACATGGACTTGGGGTGTGACTAATGAGAGGAGGAAGAGAGGACTTGGCTATAGAAGCAGGTGGACTTGGTTCTCTGCTCCATGTTCCAGTGGTGACCCAGGAGGGAGGGTAAGTGGTAATGGTTCTTATGAGTGACACTGAACAGGGAGCTGCTACACAGACCAGTGCAGTGGACAGGACAGTAATACCAAGAGGTTGGCAGTTCAGTGTCCAGGACAACACAGCAGCCTGACTGCACTCACTAACTTATAAGTGGAAGAAGAAAAAAGTTAAGGAAATGGTGGCGATGACAAGGGCTCCAGCCTGTGAACTGGCTCTACAACCAGGCATTAGAGGACCTGAGAAAGCATATGGGACTCTTTTCCCCTTGGAAATTCAGGATAATAATTCAGAAAGATTGGGTATTAAGCAATTGTCTTTTGATATCTTGGTTTTGCCATAGGAGCTGGTCCCCTGCTGGTATGCCTGGGGTGCTTGCTTTCCCATCATTTTCAGGTCTCTACATGAGGCATTAGAAATAGTATTTAGGGGAATGGGTTGAAGTGAATGACCTCAGCAGTGAGGAGAGAAGGTTTTTTGTTGTTATTTTACCATTGGTGGTTTGGGGAAGGAAGTAGCAGATGCCTTAGGGGTTGGGGAGTATTTTTATGGAATCTTAGAACCTTTCCATGGGGTCAGATTCTCTTGAAGGGTTGGAGAAGGATGGATTTAGGATAGAGAGAGAGAACCTAACTACTGGGAATCAGGATATAAACTGTCCTGGGGTAGCAAAAGAAAGAGAACTAGTGTAAAGTAAAACGGGGATAAGAGCATTATGGTTTTAAAGTGTGTGTGTGTGTGTGTGTGTGTGTGTGTGTGTGTGAGAGAGAGAGTGAGAGAGAGAGAGAGAAGAAGGGATGGAATCAGCCAGAAGGAGTGATTTGTAAGTCTTTTCTTTTGGTTCTGGGGGTTGACTTCAGGGGCTTCATAATATGCCAAGCATGTATGAAGTGCTAAACCTGCTGCTCCACGTTAGATTAGTTACCTTTTATGGTACTGAGATCAAATCCAGGATGTCACACATGCTGGACAATCTAGGATAGATTTATCTTTTTATTTTTTTATTTTTATTTTTTATACTGGAGATTGAACCTGGGTGTGCTTAACCACTGAGCCACATAAATAGCCTTTTTTTTACATTTTATTTTGAGACAGCATCTATGTTAAGTTGCTTAGGGCCTCACTAAGTTGCTGAGGCTGGCTTTGAACTTGCTATCCGCCTGCCTCAGCCTTCCCAGCTGCTGGGATTACAGTGTATACCACTGTGCCTGGCTAGGATAGATTCTTAATAGGTGCAAATTCATTCATACTGGAGAAAATTATGAGCTTTCTTTTTTGCCTGCACTAGAGTAAGTCAAACACGAATATTAGATGCCTGGAACTCTCTGGCTATATTTACGTTTTTGCCATCCTTATCTCTCCTATGAGTGGGCTGAGAATCCATAATTCTTTGGTCCCTTTGGCATATCTTATTCTGGGTTCTGGCTTTTTCATATGCCATAAAGTTTCATTTGATCATTATATATATTTTTGATCATTAAATTTAACATGCTTTGTTTTGATATTTAAATAAATTATAATTTCCACTAACCATTTCATTAACTGTACCCTGAAATTTGTAGTATGGTTGAACTAATTCTTTCTCATGCAGAAATGATGGCACCTGAGATTTGGACAATATATTTGAGCTGTGTGTACTTTTTGTTTTTTGCTGTGCTGGAGATGGAACCCAGGGCCTTGACCATGCTAGGCAAACACGTTACTACTAAGCAGCATCCCAGCTTTGTACATTTGTTAATTCCTTCTCCATGTTAACTCTTCTGCCCAGGAAAGAAAGATACTTGGAGATCTAAATTGGTCACCCCCGCAAGAGCTTAGGTTTTCCACTTAGATTTTTTAATAAGAGCTGAGGATGCAGCTAGGATATAATTCTCAGTGACTTAGGAAGCTGAGGCAGGATATCACGAATTCAAAGCCAGCCTCAGCAACTTATTGAGACCCTGTCTCAAAAAGAAAAGGACTGGGGATGTAGCTCAGTGGTAAAGTACCTCATTAATAGTTGATGTATTTACTTCATAAGGACTTGGAAATCTTTCCCAGTAAATAGAACTACTGATTGATTATATTGGACAGCGCACCACACTGAGGAGACTCTGGGATTTAGAGTCAATCAGACTAGGGCTGTTTCTATTCCTGCCAACAGTCTCTGTGACCATTGGTAATTTACCTGGCTTCTCTGAGCTTTAGTTTCCTCATCCTTAAAATGTAGGTGGTAATATACATTTTACTGAATTGTATGAGCATTAAAAAAGGGAATATAAGATGAGTGTGGTACTGCATGCCTATAATCCCAGGGACTCATGAGGTTGAGGGAGGAGGATCTCAAGTTCAAGGTCAGCCTCAGCAATTTAATCAAACGCTGTCTTTAAAGGGAAAAAAAAAAAGAAAAGAAAGAAAAAGGAACATATATATAATTCCTGACTTTCACCCTAGTGTTTTGGAATGCCTTTGGGGATTCTCAGGTATCTGTGGCAGTGTTTGGAATCCTGAGTTCCTGGTAGACTTTCCTTTTCTTTGAGGTGGGAGAGAGGGAAAAGTTCCTACTAGTTTTCCTACAGGAACCTCAGAATGTAGTAAGTTGATCTTTGTATACAAGGTAAACCTCCCCTTCCTGAGCACCAAGACAGCAAGACTTATTTGCAAAGCCTCTGAAGTCTACCCACCCCCCACCTTTCCCTGTGGTACAGGAGATTGAACCAGGGGCATTCTACCACTGAGCCACATCCCCTGCCCTTTTTTGGGGTGTTGGGGGAAGCAGGGACAGGTTCTTGCTAAATTGTTGAGGCTGACTTTGAACTGTGATCCTCCTGCTTTGGCCTCCTGAGTAATTTGATTACAGGTGTGTGCTACCTGTGCCCTGCAACCCCACCTTCTTTTTAGGGATCCCATAGTTGGGTTTATGGTAATCACATTGGGCTGCTCTTTAGATGCACTTGTAGGGTTTGAGAAGGGAGCCTTCAACTTGTTCTTGTTTGTCCTGCTCTTCCAGCTTAAGGAGCTCATGCCACTTCCTGCACTTCCCCCTGACCTCCACAGGAGGGAGGCAAGAGCCCAGGCCTGGCAAAGCCTCCTGCTAAGCTGCAGAAGGGCTAGCTATTTGCTCAGCTGTCACATTCAGGTCTTGTCTTTACTGAACTGTCTACATAGCCTTACCTGGGGCGGGGGTGAGTGTTAGCTTTCTTGGGAGGTGGGGTTGTGTATGTGTGGGGGTACCCCCTGTGAAGAACATCTTTCCTTTGCTTTTTAGTTAGCTTTTGGGTTCTCTCATTTATTCTTTTACAGCCTTAGTTTTGTCAATTTTATAGGGACAGTGTTTCTGAGAGACACCTGTTACTCATTTATCAAAAGTAAGAATCTCTTAACAATAGAGAACCAAACAGTCCCACAGAGAATGACAGTAAATGGAACGGGGCACTGGAGGGCCTTAAACTTGAAGCGAAGGAAACTACCCTTTCTGTTTTCTGACACAAAGATAGTTTCTATCTCTGTTCAAAGGTGAGGCCAGAACAGGCCTTTGCAGAATTATTATATGAATAAAAAGCATATAGAGAATTAGTGATTTTCAAATTTATGCAGAAAATAGACCAAAGATAACTAGCTGCTCTGGTGAATATTGTTGATAGCTTAAAAAATAACTTTTGAAGTTTTATAATGTACAGTGAAAAAAAACAGTCCCTTTTTCTTTCCTGTGTATTCACCTTTACCAGAGTATTGGCTTTCAGGTGGAAACAGGATGTCTGGTATAGCTGCAGTTGTCTTCCAGAGCCTCTCCAGAGAAGGGAACTGCACATGAGAGACACTGCAAATATTGTCAGTGTCAGCATTCCTTACCCTTCCTGAGACAGATTTGGAGAGTTAGGATGGGCTCTGGTTGGAAGGGGGTTAGTAGGGTTGGCAGAAGGGTCAGGAAGCAGGGGGTGGAACTGGACCATGGGGGTGGGCAAGGTGGGTAAAGGGGAGAAGAGTGTGTACTGATCAGTAGGAGGATGGGTTGGGGAAGGAGAAGATCCAGTCTGGAGGTTGTGTGACAGGAAGCCTGTGCCCAAAGTTCCTAATGGAATGTCTGGGGCTTCTAGGGTCCCTGGTGAGGCTCCAGGAAAGAGTCCATGAGTTCCATTCAAAGGTCTGTGTGTCCTGTTCAGGTATCCAGTGATTTGGTCTGGGGACCTGGTGGTTTGATTCAGCAGAGCAGGAATCTTGGCTCTGAATCCCCGCAGCTTGCTCAGAAGTCCAGAGCCAGTAGTTCTGGCTGAGACACTGAAGTTCGCCTCCAACAATCCAGAAGTCCTGTTTGGGAGCTTGTTCAGTGTGAGGAATAGAGAAGTACTGCTTGGGACAGCTGTGGTGGGCAGGGACCGCCTGACACAGAGGGCAGGTCCTCCTACAACCAGAAGAAAACGCACCTTTCCTCGGAGCAGTTGTTGGAAGCTCAGGAAGATGGCATTGGGATCCTTGTGAGCTGTGGTCCTGCCCTGTGGAGGAAGCTGAGGGCAGAGGATGGGCCTGAAGTCAGAGACCAGGCCTAAGATATCAGGTCTCCCTTGACTGTGTAGGACAGATAGGGTGTCTGCACCCAGGCATTATAATTAGGAAGGAACCCTCCTTGGCAGACCAGTTCTACCCTCCAGATCCCTTGAATCCCCTTTCTTCCCCCAGGTCGTTTAGGGAGACTGAGTCAGAGGACAATTTCTTTGGATTCCTCAGCTTGGGATTTACCTGGGTTCCAAGGAGGCCCTGCAGGGCACCAAGGAGGAGTCGGACCTGTCCAGAAAGCTGTCCCAGGAGAGCTGAGAGGCAGGTGGGACCCAACTGTCCCCGTGCTGCTATCACTCCCTCCAGTAGAAGGGTCACTGCTCCCAGAATGTCCTCTGCCTTGGTCTGCTCCTGGGAAAGAGATGGAAGAAAGAAGCGGACTGCTTCAAAGGGCATGCTAATAGCGGGTGGGGAGCCTGTAGGAGTAGCCAGCAGAATGAATCATAGGAGCTGAGAATTGGACAGGACCAGGGTCCCACCCAGCACAGGAATTCTTTCACAGTCTCCCAACAATTGGTCATCGGCCTCTGCTTCAGTAACTCCACTGTCCGCCAACCCTGCCTGGTCTTACACCAACTTTCAGTCAGAAAGTTCTGCACTGTTATAACTTAGCTCTTGAAAACTAGTGCCGTAAGTCTACTCTTTTTGCTACAAAATATTAGGACCATAGCATTTTTAAACTAAATGAAGAATTGAGGCTCCAAAATAATGGAAGGGAAGGGACTTAATAAATGGCAGAGCTTGAACTATAGGTGATCCATAGGGACCAACTGTCCTTCTCCTCTGACCCAGTGATCCGAGCAGACCTGAGGAAAGGAGGGGGACTCTATAGAGATCTTGGGGGTAGAAGAGTTGACCTGCCAATGAGTCCTGCATCCCAAGTAGGTTTCCTGAGTCATAAGTGGAAACATTTCTTGCTTTACCATAAGACTACTACTTTTCTTCAAGCTAATCAGACATGTTTTTTTAACCATGTCTCACATAACATTTTTTTTCTAGGCTCTCACTATGCAGGTTTTTCTTTCTGAACAGTTTAATATGGTCCCTTTTAATAAATTAGCATGTGTCCTGAAGGGGATGTTCAGTACTCAGACCAGTGCTTTTAAGTGCAATCCACTCAAAATAGAGTTCTAAGAATATTTCCATAATATTATTACTAAACATCTAAAGCAGTCTAGAATTGCTAGCTTTAAAACCAATTGCTTCTGATTTGGGGTTGTAACTCATGCACAAGGCCCTGGGTTCAATGCCTAGCTCTGTGAAAAGGAAATAAATAAATAAACAAACAAATAAATAGTTGCTTTAATAGTGCCATTTCTTGCTAAGTTTTTTTTTTTTTTTTTTAACACAAGCTTAAATGAGGGAAGCAGGGCTTCAGGGTCTTAAGCTGGAATAGGACTTTATTCATTTTACACGTAGAATTACACACGTGTCTATTAAATTTCATCTTGTTTATGATGTAAGTTTTTAGTGATTGGAATCTTGATTCTGACTTCAGTTAGTGGTGCTTCCCAGCATCGTGTCATCTGTGGATACAGATTAATCTTACTTCTCTGTGCCAATTTAAGAAGGTTGAACAGTCTTAAAGGCATGATCATGATAGACTTCTATCCAGCTTTTTTGTGTGTGTATGTATGGTGCTGGGGATTGAAACCAGTGCCTTGTGCATTCGAGGCAAACACTCTACCAACTGAGCTATATCCCCAGCCCCTCTCTCCAGCTTTTCATGATGTTTAACTTTGAATCTATTTGACATATTGGGCCTGAAATCCATCATCTTGTCCACAGGATACACATAGATGAATGTATATTGGGTTAGGGTGGCCAAGCTGAAGATGAGATTATTTTTAGTGACCTTAAGAATTATGAAGGACGGGCTGAGGATATAGCTCAGTTGGTAGGGTGCTTGCCTCGCATGCACAAGGTCCTGGGTTCAATCCCCAGCACCACAAAAAAAAAAAAAAAAGAAGAATGAAGGATCCAAGGAAAGCAGTAGGGAGCTGATAATGAGCTGATAATGACAGGAATTTGGGGAGCCAAAGTAAAGGATGGAGTTCCGTGTGTGTGTGTGTGTGTGTGTGTGTGTGTGTGTGTGTGTGTGTGTGTGTGTGTGTGTGTGT